CTGTGTCCAATTGTGGGCTCCCCAGTACAAGAGAGACATGGCACTCCTGGAGAGAGTCCAGCAGAGGGCTACAAAGATGATGAAGGGCCTGGAGCATCTCTCCTATGAAGAAGGGCTGAGAGAGCTGGGCCTGTTGAGCCTGGAGAAGAGAAGACTGAGAGGTGATCTCATCAATGTGTACAAGGATCTGAGGGGAGGGTGTCAAGAGGATGGGGCCAGATTCTTCTCCATGGTGCCCAGCGACAGGATGAGAGGCAATGGGCACAACCTGAAACACAGGCAGTTCCTTCTGAACATGAGGAAAAACTTCTTTCCTGTGAGGGTGAGTGAGCACTGGAAGAGACTACCCAGAGAGGTAGTGGAGTCTCCTTTGCTGGAGATATTCAAAACGCACCTGGATGCGATCCTGGGCAACCTGCTCTCGGTGACCCTGCTTGAGCAGGGGGGTTGGACTAGTAGATCTCCAGAGGTCCCTTCCAACCTCAACCATTCTGTGATTCTGCAATAGTTATGGTCTACTTAAATACATTATGGGCTTACCACATAAAGACAGAAACTCACCTGTTCTTTATCCAGGTCACTGTCTTCACTTTCTGAGAATATCATTTCTATCCTCTTTCTCTTGCCTTTTCCAAGGACTTGTATTTTTGCAATTTCATCTGCCTGCAATATCTTTTGCATCATTTCTACCAGCTCTTGGGGGTCATCTGAAGTGAAGGGTAAGAGAAACAAACAAAGAAGCAGCAGCAAGAATTAAGTACTGGTACCTTGTAACCAGATTAAAACCTCACATCAGCCAAACGCTCTGCAACTGCACTCACCACTCATGTACACAACTTTCACTAGGTGCTTTTCTGTCTTTCTTTCTCCCACAGGCCAGTTTACTAGGACATGCTCATTTCGTTTCAGGAGTCTTTCTAGTTCATTGCCATCACTGGGAAGATCCTGTATCCATGAAGTCTCTCCAATTTGCAGTGAATTATCATTTACAAAATCAAAGAGAGTGAATTTTTTCATTGTTAAATGGTTTTCTTGTCATACAGACACTACCTGCAGAAAAGAAAAATAGCTGTTACTCTGTCATGCCACAGGAATGCTAAAAGAATACTTTAAAAAGCCCCTAACAACCCTCTTACTCCCGGATTTTGAAAATTTTCTTGTATGAAAATCTTCTGGATAAGGAAGTGAAAAGTAGCCAAGTTGCATGTTAAATCTCCCCTGAAAGATGGGAGGTGGTCTGCTCAACACGTGTACGTTGGAAAGACAGTTGTCTCCAAAACTACAGACAGAAAACAGCTTTCATTTAGAGTCCTTGCTTCTGTACTGCTACCGTATACTATCTATCTCCCGTCCCGGATGTCTACGATCACCACCTTTGCCCCAACAGAAGTTTTCAGTGTGTCAGTGAAC